CTCTCTACCCCCAACCGCGGTGACTGGTGCACGCGTGGCAGAGCGGAGGCGTAAGCACGAGCCGACGTCGCCCCAGTTAATCACCCGTAAGACGAGCTCACTTCGACACGTGACGAAACACCCGGTATCGTGTCGGCCACCTGTGAAACGAGCACTGATCTGGAAGAGGGCGCGAGAGAAGGATAAGGTCGTTCGATCGGTTCGCCGGACGGGGGACCCTTTGGCGAGAATTCAGCCGCGACGAGAGCCGACCACGACGACGATCCTCTTCGACCGAGCTGACCGAGTAAATTCAAGGAATTTCAGCGTGGAGTTGTCGCTTCACGGAGAATATTCACGCTCTCTTTGGGAGGTTGCGTTTAATTAATAAGCGGATAAAACGGCCAAAGATGGATATTATAATCGATCGATTAATATAAGCGGCCGGGTCATGCAAGGTTAAGCACGATTAACGTCCTCGAAACGAAATCTTATCGTCATCGTTTCTTAAAAAGATTCTACGGCTGTTACCTCGATGAAACGAGTTAATCCCTCGTCATCGAGATCAATCGAACGATAAACGCACGTTTATGTTCGCGCTATTTATACGGCATAGTTGGAAGATGAAGACGTCCGTTCGAGAGCTTAAAGCTTCTTCCACTCGTCACTCGTAAATCGAGCACTGATCTAGGATAGTCCGGGGGAAGGTAAGGTCGTTCGATCGATCCGCAAACCGGAATCTTCCGGTGAGACGTCTCGGCCGAAGGCCGGCGTGACTATCAAGACGAGTTGGTCGCACGAGACAGTATGTTGAACGTTGTGACAAGTTTAGCTTTGCATTAAAAATGAAAGAGAAAAGATACAAGGAGATATAAAAAAAAGTTGTTTGCCTCGGCACGCTCCAGTGGCACAGTGTCGAATTGGGTGATAGATTCAAAATTGTTGAATCTTCAAGGAAATCGGAATGGAACTGCTTCTTGTTCGATTCGACTCATAAATATTTATCGTGCTGGCCACTTTTGATCGTCTGATCGTTCTCTGATCCTCTGATTCCTTTCCTAGATTTTAGACGAAACGTACGGAAAAACCTATCCGTTCGATTATTTAAATCTAACGTTATATTTTCTTTCTTAATTAAACAGAAATACGATTTCTTCTGCCGACAGCTTGTTTTCACGATCACTCGGTCAACTCAAATTATTTACTCATTTTCTTTAATTAGCTCGCCACCGCTTTGTGCCGCCTGCTGAAGATTATTGTACCGTATAACGTTGCTTGGGAGCAGTACGGCGCATAATTTTTTATTAGGTTGTGGGATGACCTTTCTCCCGTATAATGCGCTGTCAGTGGAAAAGCACCGTGGATGCCAGTGAACCTCTCTCTCGTCCCGTCCCTCCCTTATATCGCTTTTCACTCTCAATGTAGACTTCCCGTTACGATGCGGTCTAAGCTCATCGCAGATCGATTAAAAATTTCTTCCCCTGATTCGAATGGCGGTCAGGTTGCATAAAACCTCATGTTATAGACCTTTATTATTCGTTCAACAATTCGAAACGATGCACGATTCCTCGATACGATGTATAAACGAGAACGAGACGATCTCGACGATGAACGAGTAGGATAGAACGAGTAGACTCCTTTTTTTTTTCTTTCTTTCTTTTTTTTTTCTTTTTTAGAAAGTCGTCTATGGTAAACCTCTTCCGATTTTGCTCGAAAAATCAGAAGAAACACGCGCATATCCATACAAATGTTCCGGGATCGGATAATTTGCCTCGAGACGATCGTTTATCACCCCCCTCGTCGAATCAAGGAACGGACGAGATGGTGATTTTAAATTTAATACGTTAGACATTGATTTAATGACGATGCTATTCTATAATTGCATCGCATTACGCATGAATTAAGACGCTCGATGTTACGTATTAACCCTTGACTCGGTGGGGTGAAACGGTTATGGTTACGTAACCGGTAGAGGCGGTTTGACCTCAATTAACAAAGTAGATGGAATATATCTTTGCGGGGACACTATCTCGCCTAGGATGTTTCGTATCAAGACGTATAAATCCTCCGGTAATATCAATATTTTATTCCTCTACATTCCCCGCGAATCACGATATAGATCCCTCTATAGAACGTACCCCTGAACTTTTCTGCACTTCACCCGGCAACGAACCAAAGATAAATTGCGCCGAGCTCTAGGAAGACACCTATTACAATCAATCATGCACGTTCTGCAAGAACAACGTGACTC